TTAAGCGTCTGACTTTAGCTCAGGTCACGATCCCACGGTCTGTGAGTTCGAACCCCGCGTCGGGCTCTGGGCTGATGGCTCAGAACCTGGAGCCTGCTTCTGATTCTGTGTCTCCCTCTCTCTCTCTGCCCCTCCCCTGTTGATGCTCTGTCTCTCTCTGTCTCAAAAATAAATAAACGTTTAAAAAAAAAATGCCTCTTTGACCACAGTGCTTAATCTTAATCACCTCCCTTTACCTAGAGGTAATCATTGTTACCAGTTTGTGGTACATCCTTCTGGTAATTTATCATTTAAATATTTACTCATATTGAGGTCAATCTATATGTACTAACATGGGCAATCTTCAAAATCTTTTATTGGGTGAAAAAACCCCAGCTTGCATATTAAAACATTAATTATAATAACATTTATATTAAAATAAACATACACATTTAAAACAATACTGTATTTTCTACAAATTCTTGTTACCTGCTTCCTTCTCCTCTTCTTCCTCCTTCAACGACCTTTATATTGATAACCCTTATCTATATTTCAGATTTAGATCTCTCTTCTGCATTCCTAACCTACATTTGTAGTTGCTTAATACACCTCTTAATCTAATCTTTCACGAACATCCTGGCTGAACAATCAAAGCTGAATTTATTACCTTCCCATATTTACCTTCTCCACCTTCTGTTTCCCCTACTTTTGTTACTCTCGCTGCAATTCATGTGGTCATCCAGATGCCTCCCATCTGTCATCAGTCTCCAAATCCAATTGTTTGCAATCTTGTATCCCTAACTCACTTAGCTGTGCTATTTATCATATCTGCCTTTGTATATTCCTATTGCCACGTAACTTATTTAGGACTTGTACTTTTCATTTAGACCACTGCAATATCTCTGACTAATCTTTCTGTTTCTATTGTAGTGGTTCACAAAGCTATTGGACCACAGATCACCTGGGGGAAATATTCAAGCTATAGATGCCCTTTTCATTTTCATTGCTGAGAAAGGTAGTTTCGGAAGGTGATTCAAGGTCATAGAGTTAATTTAAGAGCTTTCAGGGGCGCCTGGGTGGCTCAGTCGGTTGAGCATCCAACTTCGGCTCAGGTCATGGTCTTGCAGTTTGTCAGTTAGAGCCCCACATCGGGCTCTGTGCTGACAGCTCAGAGCCTGCAGCCTGCTTCTGATTCTGTGTCTCCCTCTCTCTCTGCCCATCCCCTGCTCATGCTCTGTCTCTGTCTCTGAAAAATGAATAAACGTTAAAACAAAATGTAGGGGCACCTGGGTGGCGCAGTCGGTTAAGCGTCCGACTTCAGCCTCCGACTTCAGCCAGGTCACGATCTCGCGGTCCGGGAGTTCGAGCCCCGCATCAGGCTCTGGGCTGATGGCTCAGAGCCTGGAGCCTGTTTCCCATTCTGTGTCTCCCTCTCTCTCTGCCCCTCCCCCGTTCATGCTCTGTCTCTCTCTGTCCCAAAAATAAATAAACGTTGAAAAAAAAATTTTTTTTTAAAATAAAAAAAAAAAACAAAATGTAAAAGTTTTCATTCTCCCAATTCAAAATGCTTCCCATACTGGACCATCACCTGTGAATTTATCTGTTTAGTTTTCTGTTAGTCCTGTGAATTTAGAAGTTAATTTTCTATTTTCTGGGGTACTGAAATTAGGATTATGGTTATAAATGTTTAAACTCTTGCTTGCTTAGAGGCTACTGAAAAGTTCAATGATCTTCAGGGTGAGATTTCCAGGAACCCTAAACACCTATATGCAGTCTTCTCACTTAATGTGAAACTTATGTTATATTGTGTTTCTGATCTAAAAATTTTTTAACATTACATTTCAACAAGAAAAAAATTCTAATATTTTAGCTAATCCACAGGAGAATTTATGATGAGGAACATACCATTGCCAACATTAAAAAAAATCATTGGTGTGGAAAATTCATGAAAGATTTTAAGACTTATAATGCTTTTGTAGGATTAAGATGATATGATATTAAGGAACTAAGAAGACTTTTTTCAGTAAGTATAATTACACTAATAAAGGAGATTTATTTCTTAAGCAAGACTGCTTCAAAAGGATGCCATCCTTGTTCATAATTCTTATTTTAAAACAAATCCTTCTTTTCAAAGGTCTCAGAGATTATTAGTTACAAATGAGTAAACTGATCTGATTACTTATTACTTATTCTCCTATACATGGAGATATGAAAACATACACATAAGACTGTCATTGACTTTTCCTTGCCCTAAAGCATAATAACACTTGTTGCCACAACTTAATGTGTGGTATGTGTTAATTCAGGGTTGCAGGACTTTATCTTAACCATCATCAACCAAAAAGCATAAATATATTGCAAAAGTTCCTTATGTCTTATATTCAAACTCTTTAAAATGTTTCTCTTTATTTGGAAATGAAAGTTTTCTGACAAACCAGGCAATAGGAGTTATTTTCATAAACATTTTTGCTACTTTTCTCTTGGATTTAATAGAAAAAATCAGTAACATTATTATGCATAGTCAGAGACCATTTATTATTTCCCAGATGAGCCCTGAGGCTTCTTCTTATACTTTGGTATATTCATCTCTCTCTCTTGATCTCTTCTTTAACTTTCCATCTTCATCTCTTCATGCCCATATGCAGTTCTAGTCCTTATCTGCTCCATGCTTTCCCTTCTTCACCGAACAATTTTGTTTTAATAGAATAAAGGAAAGGAAGTAAAAGCACTTCATTTTTAATTATATGCAATTTTATTTTAAACCTCTCTTTTGCTTGTAACCCTCCCTGTGAGTCCAGTCCTTGGGGGTTCAGGGGTTCATGTGCTTGTTAAGAAAAAAAAAACTAGGGGCGCCTGGGTGGCTCAGTCGGTTGAGCATCCGACTTCAGCTCAGGTCACATTCTTCCGGTTTTTGAGTTGGAGCCCCGCATCGGGCTCTGTTCTGACAGCTCAGAGCCTGGAGCTGCTTCGGATTCTGTGTCTCCCTCTCTCTCTGCCCCTCCCCTGCTCATGCTCTGTCCCTCTCTGTCTCAAAAATAAATAAAGCATTAAAAAATTTTTTAGAAATAAAAAGGCCTTGAAAACAGTAAAAAAAAAAATTGTCTAAAGAGTATTGAGGGACTTCACGTAAAACTTGTACAGCTACAGGAAGCTTCTCTCAGCTACAGAATCACTTCTAACCTTATAAAATGTGATACTATTTACTTTATTCAAAACTTCAAGATTGTTTTTAATTTGATTTGCCTATTGAGAGCAATGTAATATTTAATCGGCCTCTGTTTCCTGATCTTTTTCCTCCCTTGCTTCCCAGAGGTGTACATGGCATGTTCTCACATCCTGTTACCAACATTAATATATGTCACCCTTGCAAATTGTCCTTCATGACTCGTCCTCCATCCACTACTGCAGAGTTCTCTAGTTTGATGTAATCTTGGCTACTGTAAATTTACATTAATTCACATTTTGTCCTTTTTTTTTTTTTTTTGACAAAATGCAAAGCACCCTGTCCAACTTTCAGCCCTGTCATACGACACCAGAGGAAGCTGGCAACTTTATGTGAAACACATGGTGAGTCCCCAACATTCATCAATTAATGACCGGAATGCTAAGCCGTTTAATTAAACAAGGAGAGAAATAGGCTCCGGTGTCCAAAGGAAAAAACAAAACAAAACAGCGAAAATAAGATTATATGGTTTGAAATCCAAAGGATAATTTTCAAAGCTTAAACAAATGATTTACAAAGAAGAATTTCAGTTTCCATAAAAGCGAGAACTTCTGAAAGCTGGAGACTGAGAAATTAGGAAGTGCCTGTGGCAGCCGGGGAAAAGTTGTGCTACTGGGAGCATATATAAAGCAACAAGGTCTTTACCTCTTTGCCAGCAACTAAATCCAGAGAGATTATTTGTGCAAAGGTCAATTTGGATACAAATTCTGATCTTTGGAGAGAAAAATTTAAAAGCCTAATCCAGGGGCGCCTGGGTGGCGCAGTCGGTTAAGCATCCGACTTCAGCCAGGTCACGATCTCGCGGTCCGTGAGTTCGAGCCCCGCGTCAGGCTCTGGGCTGATGGCTCAGAGCCTGGAGCCTGTTTCCGATTCTGTGTCTCCCTCTCTTCTGCCCCTCGCCCGTTCATGCTCTGTCTCTCTCTGTCCCAAAAATAAATAAACGTTGAAAAAAAAAAAATTAAAAAAAAAAAAAAGCCTAATCCATGGGTACTGAAAGAAAATAGAGGTCCGTCAGTCAAATGTGTAATTTCACAGAAGAGGAAACTGAGATATTCATTTTTGAAAGTATAACTCTCTTGGAGTATCTCTTAATTCTACTTTCTCTGTTCTCAACCTTTATTACTTGCCCTTGGCACAATATTTTGCCAAGCTACAAATAAAATGATGTGATTGGCATATAATTATTATAACTGAAGAAAGACAAAAAAAAACCATTTATATTACATGTTAACTATGCTTACAAAGAGAAGGTCCTACAGAAACTAAGAATGACTTTCAGAACTCTGCCTCCCTCCCATACTTTTCAATGTGAAATTTTCCCAAATTGAGAAAAAAAAATCTAAAATTTAGAAAAAAATTTTACTATCATCTGAATGAAATTCTAAACCCGGTTTTCAGATGATTTTTATTACAAAACAATTTTAAAATTTTAGATTTTTTTCTGATTCAAAGATATATACATATAAAATTTGTAAAAGAAAAAAAGCTAATAAAGATAAATAAAACAATCAGACTCCCAACAGTACATTTTGATGCAGTTTCTCCCATTTATTCTTATGCTTATTGAAATAGTTTTCTTTTCTTTTCTTTTCTTTTCTTTTCTCTTTTCTTTTTTCTTTTCTTTTCTTTTTTCTCCTCTCCCCTCCCCTCCCTTCCTCTCCTCTTCCTTTCCTCTCCTCTTCCTTTCCTTTCCTTTCCTTTCCTTTCCTTTCCTTTCCTTTCCTCTCCTCTCCTCTCCTCTCCTCTCCTCTCCTCTCCTCTCCTCTCCTCTCCTTTCCTTTTCTTTCCTTTTCTTCTTTTACATATGGAACCCTTCACAAATTTGTGTATCATCCTTGCACAAGGGCCATACAAAATTCTGTTATCATTCCAATTTTAGTATACATGCTGCTTAAACAAGCACTATTGACATAATTTTCTACATACGGATTTGTAATCTAGTCTATAATTTAAACGAAATTTTAGGATAGTTTTTTCTATGTGTTTAATGTTCAATTTATTTTAAAAGGTGCGTAAAATTTTATTATGTGGAGATACCAGTGTGTGTGTGTGTGTGTGTGTGTGTGTGTGTGTGTGCGCGCGAGTGTGTGTGTGACCTCCACCTCCATCATTTATTCCAGAATTTTTTCTATTTGAAAGATAAGTTTTAAACATTTTTAGATAAAGTCTTTCCATTAAATTGTAAAGAATTACCTTCTTAGGAGGGATGCTTAGAAGGTACTAACAAGCGTAAGGTCCATTTGCTTTCTATAAATCTTTCACCAGTTTATACTCTCCCACTAGTGTGTGAGAATGCCTGCCTCACTTCAGTTTTGCCAGTAATGAGTCCTATAGACCAAATATTTGACAATAGCAGGCTCGAAAAGTCATTGGCTAATTTTAAAAAGCCAGTTAAAGTAGGAAGCATAAAACTTTTTTATATAAACTTGAAGTGCATATATGTACATTAACTTGCCTGTGTTGATTTAGAGCCAAGGGCTTTGATTTATCTCTTTGCTGTCACCTGTCTTGTATAAACTACATCCATTTTACATCGTTGTAATTTTCAGTTTTTGTTTTTTGTTTTTTTTTGAAATGAAGCAAGAAATCAAGGATAGTGACAGAAAACTTCTGACCTTTGAAGGAAAAAAGTTACCTTTATTTTTGTGTGTGTGTTGTTTCATCCAAATTGGTTTTGACATAAATTGTATTAGGTAGTTCACCTTTACTCGTTTCAAAGCATGCAATTGAATGGATTAGCTAGCTTTTCAGGGGAGGGTAAATACAGCTAGGTGGTCTTCATGATCTTTTTATTTAGTGATGAATATGCCCTATATCCCATTATTTTTGGAGTAGAAACTCCAATGTAAAGTTCAGTAAGATAAACACTAAAAATGATATCCAGAAGGCCTCTTGTCTTTGTGTTATTGGGCACACAGCACAGTCTTGACTTGGGCAGATGGCTATTGTAAGAGCTTTGAGTCTGTACCTACTGCAAGAGGTATTCTCTTACTTTTCATCATAAATACGTTCAAAACTGATAATATATGTGAATACCATTATTTTCTGTAAAAATACTCTCTGGTACAAAGTTCTATGCATAATAATATACATTAAAAGACACACTGCCCACCTACACTTCATTGTGAAAGTCCGATAAAAGATCAACAATTCACTCTACTTGGAAGTAATCAACTTACTTATTATTCTCTGACATTTAAAAATATTTAAAGGGTATTGCGAATATTGCTGCAATAAACAGAGTGGCTCATATATCTTTTTTGAGTTAGTGATGTGTCCATTGATATACCAGTAGAGAATGAGGAGGTAGTGTGTGTACATGTATATATATCTATACATATCTATATATACATATCTATATATATACACATATACATATCTATATATACATATACATATGTACATACACATATACATATCTATATATACATATCTATATCTATATATACATATACACACTACACAGTCATAAAAAAGATGAGATCATGCCACTTGTGATAATGTGGATGGATCCAGAGAGTATTAATCTAAGTCAAATAAGTTAGAATCAGAAAGACAAACACCATATGAGTTCATTTATATGTGAAATCTAAAAAACAAAATAAATGCATAAACAAACAAACAAAAAGCAGAATCATACCTCTAAACAAAGAGAACAAACCAATACTCAGCAGAGGGGAGGGGATGGGGTATTAGGCAAAATGGGTGAAAGGCAGAGGGAGATACAGGCTTTCAGTTACGGAATGAATAAATCACAGGAATAAAAGGCACAGCATAAGGAAAATAATAAATAACATTGTGATAGTGTTGTATGGTGCCCAAAGGTAGCCACACTTGTGATGAACAATTTTATTTACTAAAATTATTTAAAGAGATTGTTAATTATTGCCAGGAGAAATGAGAAAATCTGTTTTAAAAATACTTTTGCCTATAACCAGAAAGTTTAGATTTTAAGAGTACTTAAAACTTTCTATATTTTACTGCTTAAGCCTGAACCATTCTATTTCTATTTTTTAATTAAAATTCTATGTTTTAAAATCCTTTCTTTTAAGCTGATGTTTATTTATTTTGAGTGCAAGGTAGAGACCAAATGCAGTAGGGGTGGAGAGAGAGGGAAACAGAATCCCAAGCAGGTTCCGCGCTGTCAGTGCAGAGCTGGATGCAGGGCTCAGACTCACAACCCACGAGATCATGACCTGAGCCAAAGTCAAGAGCCAGACACTTAACTGACTGAGCCACCCAAGCATCCCTCTAAATTCTTATATTATTGATCAAGGTTAACTTTTATTGATATATGTGGATATAAAAGAAGAAAAACATAACTTTTAGCATTATATGGATTCAAAAATTTAATATTTAAAAAAAGTTTCCCCACTTGTGCTTTATTTGTACCGAAACCCAAATGCTGAATGACTGATTGCAATTGTTTTCTCAGCAAGATCTTTTAAATATTTTCGGTAACTCATTTAACCACAAAAGAATGACAAGAAAGGTAAGTAGTGGAACTATTTATTCTTAAGCACTTGTAAGTATAAATTTCATTATTAATTCCGAATACTTTCTTGTAGCATTTTTCAGAAGATCATCCAGATCTTTCAGAACTTGAAGTTCTGATCTATTTTCTTTTGCCTTATATCTATAGTCTTTTTACTAAGGGATGATCTAGAGTATTATTTATTTTTATGCATTCTGTTATTCCTGTTAAATGTAAATACCTGAGAAAATGAGGAAAATGACAGTGCTGAGCTGGCAGGATGTCTGACCATTCCCCTGCAAGAAGTTGCTAGGTATGAGGAGGAACACAGTGGCCAAAAACATGGGCCAAAGAGAAATCCCTCTCCCTGGAGAAAGGCCACCAGGATCTGAGTGCTGCAACCAGACTTCCGGGACTGCATCCTACTTCATCCTTAACGATGACCGTGATGGCGGTGACGATGACAATGACCATGACCGCTGGCACTGAGGAACTGTTATTAAACTGCAAGCCCCCAGCTAAAGGCTGTACAACATTATGCCACTGAGGTGCTCACAGCAACTTCGTGGATAAGACATGGATGAGGAAATTAATGATCGGAAAGACTAAGTACCTTGCCCAGTGTCTCACACGGAGCTGGCGATAGACCCAGAATTCTCATGGATTTTTGAGACCACACTCTTCTCGTTTTTCACTCTCGGTGTCTTCCAGCACATCATCATCCTCTGCCAGGTTTTAGAAGCCGAAATGCCTCCAGACTTGGTTGTAAGCCCCCTTTCCTCACTATCTCCATCAAGGTAGGTTCAATGATTGACTGTGGACTAATAACTTCAAAGTGAAAAAGTCTCCCTCGATTTTATCTTTTTAGCTCCAAGTACATTTATCCCATGGTCATTGTGAAGATAGAATACATAGAAATTCATGACACTTGCGAGTATGTTACCTTATATGACAAAAGAGAATTTACAATTGTTATTAAAGATTTTGAAAAAAGGGAGATTATTCTGGGTTATCTGGTGTGCCCATTATAATTATAAGAGTCCTGATATGAGGGAGGCAAGAGTGTCAAAATCAGAGACAGATGATGGGATGATGGAAGCAGAGCTTGGAATGAAGGGCTTTGAAGATGAAGAAAGCGGCCTGAGCCAAGGAGTACAGGGGGCCTCCAGAACCTGGAAAAGGCAAGAAGGTGAGTTCTTCTCTGAAATGTCCACAAGGAACACAGCCCTGTCAATACCTTGATTTTAGCTTGGTGAGACCCATTTTGGACTTCTTTGTGTTCTTTTAAGCCACTAAGTTTGTGGTAATTTGTTACGACAGCAATAGAAAGCTTATAGTCTTAGAAATGATAACTTGTACTTACATGCTTCAGTCATATACTACTTAATATGTTAAACTAATGCCAAACAGTAACTTTCGTACAGTAAGGAACAATTCTTATATCTCAGTTTTGTAAACTCTTTATTATGCTTCTTCTCGTGACATTGGCCAACACGGAGCCTCTTTTTGTGTGTCTTAAATTTTAATTTTTAAATGGACATTAACTGGGGCCCTCTGCTGGCTCGGTTGGCTGAGCATCTGACTCGATTTTGGCTCAGGTCATGATCTCCTGGTTCGTGGGATGGAGCGAGCCCTGTGTTGGGACTGTCAGCACAGAGCCCGCTTGGGATTCTCTCTCTCTCTCCCTCTCTCTCTGCTCCTACCGCACTCATGTGCATGCTCAATCTCTCTCTCAACATAAACACTAAAAACATAATACAAATAAGAGGATATTAACTTATGAAAACTTAATCATTATAGTCTTAAAGTGTTGTAGAATACTTCTATGAATTAAACTGCTTACGTTTCAAAATAATTCAAGGAGAAATGAGATCTTGCAGAGGTATTTGTTTGTCAGAACGGATTTTAATTATAACCAGAATGTGAATAGTGAGCAGATTCTCCAGCATATTTAAAAATCACTTGTTCTTGGGGCATCTGGATGGCTCAGTCGGTTGGGCAGCACGGGTCATGATCCCATGGTCTGTGGGTTCGAGCCCTGTGTCGGGTTCTGTGCTGGCAGCTCAGAGCCTGGAGCCTGCTTCAGATTCAGTGTCTCCCTCTCTCTCTTCTCCTCCCCCCATTGTGTTCTATCAAAAATAAATATACATTAAAAAAATTTTAAAAGTCAATTATTCTTGTACTTGAAAGTCAATAAGAAAAAGGAGGACTTTAAAATGTGAAGAATTTTGTAAGGAAGATAGTGAGAAATTATTAAGAAAAATATTCAAAAAAAAAAAAAAGAAAAATATTCAGACCCAGAAGAGTCAACACAATATTGAAGAACAAAAACAAAATTAGAGAACTGATGTTATCTGACTTCAAGATTTACTACTACTATAAAGCCACAACAACCCAGATAGTGTGGTACTGGTGAAAAACACAGACAG